CTCTCTCTCTCTCTCTCTCTCTCTCTCTCTCTCTCTCTCTCTCTCTGTGTGTGTGTGTGTGTGTGTGTGTGTGTGTGTGTGTGTGTGTGCGCGCGTGTGTGTGTGTGTGTGTGTGTTCTGTTTCTCCCCTTCCTCTCCCCTCCCTCCATGTGCGTGTGTGTGGTTGAATGATGTGCATAAGACAACATGTGTGATAACTAAATCAATACTCCGCCAATTGAAAAGAACAAGGAAAAAAATAAAAGTCGAACGGGAGGAAGAGGAAAAGAAAGGGGAAAACAGAGAACAAAAGAAAGGAGATGGAAAATGCAGAGAGGATGATGCTACCAGGGTACAGTAGGATCTTCGCCAGGTCTAAAACCGTGATGTCATTATCACTGCACAGTTCCCCGCATGTGTGTCCCACACATGGGGTGCACAGTTCACAGCATGGCCCTCACACGACCAATACTTGCCCCGGGCAAAACAGTCTGGAGTGAGACTTGCGTCCAGAAGAGTGACTTTACATACATCTGAAAGTTCCAGGAGCTCAAGGCAACCAAACCAAAATGGCCAGCGCTGCCAGGCAAGAAGAAAAGAAATCACGCCCGTGCCAGTTTCTTTTTTTTTTGGGCGGTGCATTGCCATGCAACACGATTTCGGATCAGTAACAATAGCTATCCATTGGATTTTGGATCGGTAAAGGTAGCTATCCATTGATAGGCATCCTTGATTGCGCAGGGGCCCTCACAATTTTCTGTAAGGCTGGGGCTGTGTACTGGCGGCTTAAACCGCTAGTACACGACCCCAGCCTTGCAGAAAAATGTATGTTGCCTGCTCCGTAACGGCTGGCAGCGCCAGACAAAAAAGGAAAAAGTGTGCTGCTCGCAGTTCGGAAACGCTTGGCGCGCACTGCAGCAGCTCCAGGCCAGGGTGTACTGGTGGTTTTGGGGTGTAGGGTTTAGGATTTAATACTGGTGAAATGCCTGAGATTGTATAACCAAGGGGCGGGGGAAACTTCCAACGACAACAGTGGTTACGAGAAAGTGAAAGAACCAACGCTCCCAGAGTCCCAATTGTCCCAGTCCCATCCTTGTCAGAATCTTGATCGCTGAAAAGGATGAAAGAAGAGTACCAAAAGATAGAAATTTGCATGAATCATGCCATGTGAAAGGATTTCATATCTCAGATAAATCCCGAGTTGCGGTCCCAAAGTCACAATGGTTCCAGTCCCATGTACTATAGCCGAACCGCCAGGCCCATCTCGGATCATTACACCAGGTATAACAAAGGCGACTAGATGACCTGTTGCGGCTTCGCTTGCAAAGCAGATATGACGGGTGATGCATTCATTGTGGAGGCAACTGCCTGATGCAAACTCTCTCTCTCTCTCTCTCTCTCTCTCTCTCTCTCTCTCCATCTATCTCTCTCTCTCTCTCCATGGCATATAGCATATCGAAAGACTTGACAGACAAGGACAGCAACAAAGACAAAAGAGCCATTCCATTAAAACAGACATTTTACATTTCCTAAACAAAATTGAAACCTACTTATTTGGCCCTAAGAATGTCATCATCTGAAAAAGCCGGACCCCCTTGGATGTATCGGGATTTCAGCTAAGTCCGGAGGGACTCTCAGGAGCTAAAACGGTGACAATTTTAGAGCAAAATAAGTAGGTTTCAGTTTCGTTCAGCAGATGGCGGGAGACGGGATAGGGAAGGGACCTCTGGGTTTGGCATGCACTACTTGATCCTACATCGGTCGTGCGGGGCGCTGGACCCGGTTTCCAGCACGTGGGAGTCCAGCTAACGGACGGAGGGAGACAGCACAGAGCAAGGACCTTTTGGCATGTACTTGATTCTATATCGGTTTTGTGGGACACTGGACCTGCTTCCCAGCAGGTGTGGCCCCACCAGTAGATTGGAGCAGCCAGGGAGGGCTGCTCGCTGTGGCTGCTCGTATCACTCGTGCTAGCACACCTTGGCTGGCTTTTCTGGAAAAGAAGAAGTCTGTTTTAATTTTAAGTTTTAGGTTTTAAATCACTGGTACCTCCAAGCCTGTTTTTGCCGAGCCTGAGATTTCACTGCGCTCTGAGTTTTGCCGAGCCTGGGTCCCACTCCATGTTCTTTATGGTCCTCTCACGGGAAGAACAAAAAAAAAAAAACAGGGATTTTTTTTGAAATGCCCCTCCGGAATCCATTTATTTGTGGCATGCCCCTGCAACGGCCGACTTACCCTGCCGTGCCCCTGGGGCCTCTGAAGTTTCCCACAGGCCCTGGTCAGCAAGGTGCACAAATTTTCTGGACGCCCAAACCGGACCGCCCACTGCATTTCCCTGGTGGCTGTCTACTATGCCCTCCAGCCGGGGATGCATCTCTGTGAGATGCCCTTCAGCAAGGAGGCCCGACCAGTTTGAATTCAAACTTGCCGTGTTTTTGGCGCCGCCACATCAAAAAGTGCTGCAGTCCACGCGACGCTCGCTGCCACACTTCACCATTCTGGAGACCGTTTGTCCCATCGCGCCCCCTTTGACTCCTGCGATTGCTTCACAAAGGTTAGTGTCCCTCCTCATCTTGCACGCCCCTCTGCCTGTCGTCCTCCTGGSGTGTGTGCTTGACGCCCTACCTCTTCTCTCTCTCTCTCTCTCTCTCTCTCTCTCTCTCTCTACCTGCTGATGACTCGGTCAAAGTCCGACGAAACAGTCCGGCACACATGACAATGCCACTCGGGGGG